CCACAAAAAAAAAACTGCTGCTCCAACGCAATCACACACCCAGACACCATGTATATATATATATATACACACTCAGAGGACCAATACTAGTGACCTCCCGACCAAACCAAACCAAACAACAGAAATGGCCACACACATCATAGCACCACATTTTCCGAGCGATTCCCAATACGATTTTTCAAAATGCTAATTTCCCGAACAAGAGCCCTTTCAATCATTGTGACGTGACGAATTTGATTAAGATGTGGCCATGTCCTAAGCTGGGCCTTGCTCGTAACAAATGCAATGTATTCGGGGCTCGGGTTTGCCACAATGTTGAAGTAGTCTGGAACAGCGTGCAGAACATTGCCGATGGGAAGAATGAGAATATCACCGTCGTAGCGCTGCGTCAAGAAAAAGTACGGCAAATCCCAGCGTCCCGTCTTAGAAAAAACACCGATAGTAAAAAGTTTTAAAATCCAGTGTCGCATTTCTCGACAGAATCCATACCATATTGAGCTAAGTATTTTCCGTGGGCGCCGCTGCTTATACAGCAGCGGTGATACCGGCTTCTTCAGAAACGGAATGATGTGCGGGTTTACTTGACTCACAATGAAGTAATTCACATTAAACAGGGAAGAAAGACTTTCGCGTGGAAGGTCACGGGCCACACTCCCATCACACCAAAGTTGACCTGGGAGAAAGCGGCCGAAAGTTCCATCAGGTAACTTCTCAATGAGCTGAACCGCTGTGAATAGGCCAGGAAGGGCACAGCTTGCACTAACTGCACTCCAAACAACGACGTTCGGAGATGTGACATAGTTCAAAAGCATGTGTCGATCCATGTGAGAACCGCTGTACTTATCGCTTGTCACACACACGTTCAATATTCGACCTGTCTTTCGGTACGCCTCCTTAAACGTAAGATCCCCGACATTGGAGCGGAGACACTCCATAAGTGTGCGCACATCCATGCAGGCACCGGTGCGCAGCAGACGCTTCAGCTTAGAAAATATTCCACCTTCATCAAAGGGCGCGAGTTGAAGTGTCTCAACGGTCAGGATGGAGTCACTCAGAAAATCACGCAGCTGATCATTTGTTTTGGTACATATGATTGCGGCAATGATTGAGCCAGCAGAGGAGCCGGATATGATGTCTGGAAGCAAACCAGATTCAAAGAGGGCGCGAACAACTCCTGTGTGGTAGACACCCAGTGTGGAGCCACCACTCAACATGAGGGCACTTCGCCCATAGGAGCGGAGCGTGTCCCGCAGAACTTTGAACTTCTCCGTGTCTGAGAGGTGTGTCGCGCGGGATAGGTGCGGCCCGTGGGCCCAGTCAAGAAGAGAGGAGATGTAGGTGGAGGTGTGCGGTCTCGCCGTCGAGTTGGAAAGAGCGGCTGCATCAGGTCGTCTCTTCGTACGAGAAAGCCCCGAACCGTTGAAATCGTTCTTCCGTCCCTTATACACATTATCCTCACCCCCAATGGCTGCATCCTTTTTACTTTCCGGCTGCAACAGTGGGTCTTGTTTCGCGAAGGAATCTTCCCCTCCATTAAGTTCATCAGACAATGGAGGCGCACGTGTCACTTCATTTTCTGAGACTCTTTGACAAAAGGTTTCTATGATCTTTACAATTGTATCGTTATATTCCTCCAGGCAGCGTATTGTACCAGTGTAATATTGGTAATTGCACGGGCTTGTCATGCCGTGGGCTGTGCGATGTAGCTGAGAACGCAGGAAATCGCCGATGGCCACTTCATTCCCATATTGAATAAGGGCCTTTGCACAGAAGGTGTCCTGTATAAGTCCCTCTGCATCACAATCCTCCTTATTCGGGGCCACCTCTTTCCACTTCTGCATTCCACGGTGGTTGTCGAGGTACGACGCGGTGGTAACCCACGTTTTGAGACTCTCTGTGGAGTTCATAATATTCAGGTACCGCTGCTCCGTGCGGGTGGCTTGTGCTCGTGAGCTGTACGTCTTCACCCACGTCTGTATTGCGTGTAAAGGCGCCAGAACAAGGCGTCCCACAATAAAAGAGTAGAGGTAAGCAAGTATGATGACCACCCATGACCGCTTTACCGTTTGTGAACATTTTAAAGAATTTCTTTTTACTCGCCGCCCTCCCCTTGCCGGACATTTTCGGTTGGGGACAAACTTGATAGGCGACCGCCCTGACGTTGGCGTGGCCCCAGACACAACCACGTTTACCGCCATCTTTTGCTCATTGCCGCTGCCTCCAGTACCTGGAGCAATTGACATGGCTGCTGAACCCAAGTTAAACGCACCTCGGTTCTAGTAGAGGACTTTCCAATATAGAAGGGGGAGAAAACAACTTATCCTTTACTCACAAATGCACCTCCACTTATCATCAGGTAAGAGAAGATCGAAAGAAGTAATCAAGAGCACTATAAGGAACAAGGAAGATGTCTGTCTGAGAGCGCGTGTATCCCACCACCCAACCCCCCTTATTAATAAGAAAAAATTAAACCCACATGAAATATTTCTGCTTCTTTCAGCGCTGTCCCAGCAGCTGAAGAGTGCCATTGGCTGTGCCAACAGCGAGAACACTTTCTATTGGATGCCAACAGAGTGCGGTGGGTATGTCTCCCACAGACACCTTGTCTAGAGCCGCACCAGAGCCCACGTCGTAGATGCAGACTTCGCGAATGTCGCTACCCACTGCCACCAATGCACCGTTTGGAGAGAATGCCACACCGACCGGCGCTGCGCTGTTGCGGTGTAGCGCGAGCTGCCGCACCGGACGCGGCTGGCGGAGATCCCACAACCGGACAGTGCTATCCAACCCGGCTGTTAGATACATGTGTAAGTGGGCCGAAGTGGGGGAGGCGTACCGACTCGCTGTCATCATTGCAACATGATGAATAGAGCGTGTGTGAGCCTCTTCCACCACCTGTATGTTCCGTTCAGCCGCAACATCGTAAATGCCAACAGACTTGTTTGATCCTGCCCACACAAGAAGGTTGGAGGTAAAGTAGTTGATGGCATCCAAAGCAGCCACGTACTGAGCTGATTCCGCAGTGAACTCCAATACAGATTCCACACGTGAATCATTACGCTTGCGATTCAGATCACCGCCACCATTATCCAAGGCGTAGCGGCAGAGGGATACAGTGTTCCCAGCAGCGTAGCAGAGGAACTTATCGGTGTAGAAGAACTTCACAGCACGTACTTCTTTACCAACCACATGCTTAATATAAGGTGCCTCTCGCTTCAAAGGCTGCCACATTGCAACAACACCATCAGCTGACCCCGTTGCAGCCATGGGTGCGTTGATGGAAAGACTGACATCTGCAGCGTTCACAGGCCCTTTGTGCGCTCGCATTATTATGCTGCTCCCTCCATTTTTCACCACTGGATACTTCAGCCAGCTCGCTGTGGTGTCGCCAGATGAAGTTAGCAGAGCAGCACCGCAAGCTGAGAAAGTGGAAGCCACCACAACAGCACGATGAACAGGAGAGGATAAAAGGAGTTGATTGGCTGTTGTCATGGGCTGCAAAGGATGCTTGTGCAACGGTACTGCCTTGAACCGTGGAACAGAAGTTGCCGAAGGTAGGGGCCGTGTCGCCTTTCGTGCCTTGTCACGCAGTTGTTTCTCACGCTGCTGGACACTCCACGGCACGTTGGATGCGTATCCACTGCTCTTGATGGGATGACCGAAAGTCACCGGCTTCTCCACATTCTTTTTCTTCATATTCTTGACAGCATTCCTTCCACTGCCTGAAGCTGGCAAGGCCTGCTGCATAAAGGGAAGCAAAAGTGGCTCCAGTAGACGTGACGGTAGTGGTACTTGGGCATGCACCAGGTCATCCGTGGTGTCACCGTTGCCACGCTGTTCCACTGCAGCAGCATAGTAAAGCAATTCCTGCTTTTGAGGACACCATACGCACCACGAACCATTTCCTGAACATGCTGACAACACAGACAACTCGCCTGAGAGCATTGTCGTTCGGTCCACGAGCAAATCCATCGAGTTTTTGTTGTAGCACACAACGGCATCGGGGCGTACTACCAGCATGAGCCGGTTACCCACCGCCAGGTTGAGCACATGCACGCCACCCTCCTCTGCTGGTGGAAGTGGCGATTTATCCCAAATGCGGTATAACTGCTTCGTCACGTCCACGGTAAAGAATACCTCAAGGGACTCCTGCTGCAGCAGTTTCACCATCCCGTCGGACGTCCCTACAACAAGGTGGCCCTCCGCACTTCCACCAACTGCAAACGATGTGACGTGGTGGGCACGTGAGAGGATGTGGCCGTCTCGCTCCAGAAGCGGTTCTGTCGAGCAGAAGCCACCACTGCTGTCAGGATTGTCTCCGTTGTAGCGGGTGCTCACAAGGTGGTTGTGCGTCGAAATGACGAACAGACGACTCGCGCTGAACGCACTGAAGGCTGCCCCTGGGGTGCCGTACCAACTGCTGCAGTCCACCGCGAGACAAGGCCACGATCCGTTAGCATCACTACGCTCGACGGTGCACCCAACGCGGCAGTCAACCAACACAATTTGCTCCGGCGAAGAAAGCGCGACAGTGGCACCGTCTGGGGTCCACGCAACGTGAGTTACTCCTGTACCGACGCTCCTGCAAACAAACTCTTCTGCCACGACACACTGCTCCTGTTCTTCTTCGTCTTCCTCCTCCTCCTCCTCCTCCTTGTCCTTGTCTCCCACGGCCAAAGGCGACCACTCCAATGTGAAGAGTGCCACTGCTTCCTCGCCCACCACCACAATCTTTTCCTGAAATAGCGAGATGAGGGTTGGCGTGAAACCCAAATGCAGCACCGGCGCTATGGGCGGGGCATCATCACGGCAATCCCATAAATGCATCGTCGGACCCCTACTGCTGCTACCGCACCACAGTAGATACCGATCGGAAACAGTAACACAGCTCACGTGCTCTCGACCCATCTGAAGAGCACGCAGCACATCATCGGACAACTGTGACATTATATCTTCCTCTTTGTGTCTCCGTAACGCCGTGAAACTTCGGACGATACACCACGTACCTTTTCCAAGGAAAAATGCAACACGCATGAAAAGTTAGCGATGTAAAACACATTTTTGGAATGCATGCCCCATAAACAACAGCGCCAGACTCTTTACACCTTCTTAAATGATTCAGCAAAAGGAAGCACGAACTATTTTCTTTTCCTCGTCTACTTCCTGGACATGCCATCACGAGCAAGCATTTGTACTGTCTCGAGGAAGAGAATGTTGTCTGCCACCTTTTCCAAAGCGGCTTCCTCCTCTGCCTCGTCGTCGTGAGAGCTGCCAAGCACTGCCTCACACATCCCCGCTTCCAGAAGAGACTCCATTTCCTCTACGTGCCGCGACGCCACAGTACTGTCGTCACCCGCTGACGTTGCGCTTCCGTCATCATCATCATCATCGTCACTGTCGTAGTTATTGCTTTCGGTAGACAAAGTATCAGTCTCGCCAAGGCCCAACATGGACTCGTCAAGGCGCAGAACCTCGTTATCCGTCATATTATACGCCACGGCTGCCTCCTGGGCGTAGGCGCGCATCCACTCGATGGAGTCACCGCGCCGGGACGCCACGGACATTACTTTCCGCCGAAGATCACCGAGCTCGTTTTGTGAAGAAATATCATCGGTGAGGCAAATTGCCGTGCTTTCTTCATTCCTGCATTGCCGTTCCTTGAGAAATGAATCGATGGCGGTGGAATGGGGTCCACTGACCTCGCTCCGCAGGCGATGGAGAGCAATGGTAAGCTGCAGCCCTAGGAAAACTTCTGCAGAATCTGCCTCCATATCAGCGCCTCTGTTCCCAGCGAGTGAAGCCCGAGCCCGCGCAAGTGCCTCCTCCGCCGCCGCCGCCGCCACTGTTGAGGGAGCAGAGAGGCCCGCACAGTAAAAGTGTGCAAAAGTATGCCGCGGCATCCGCAGCGGCAGCCGAACGTATCGCCCGTTCTGTACCTGCACGCAATACTCCTGTATCACGCCGCGGATGATGCCCTCCGTACAATCAGACGTCATCGGCGCGAGCTTGCCATCGCGCAGCCAGTGCAGTGGCTCACGAACACTGTGGTGCAAGAGCGCTGGCTGCAAAATCTGCGGGTAAGTGTGAACCAGTTCGCCCACTGACGCGGGAACTGCCGCCACCGCGAAGTGCCACGACTCCTCTCGCATAACCCGCGCGACGCCGTTTGACCACTCGTGCAGCGCCCGCGTTGCGGCGGGATCGTGAAGCTCTTCACGTGCCGCCCCGTCCATCGCGAGGAACGCGAACGGAATCGACTTTTCCCTTTCCTGAAGCTGCGCGTCCTGCTGCAGGCGACAGGAGTGCCGTGCCGGAAGCGGAACAACGTAGACCTTACCCGCCGAAAGAAGGACGCGGTGCGCCATTGTGCGGTGGTAGTTGTGCTCCTCCGCACCCCAGCGCGTCAGGTAGGCACTTCGGCTCTCCTCCGACTGTTCAACCACATCTGCGAGCTCAACAAGCACTACATTACTATCCGCCTCCTCCACATTGGCACCAGCCGCACCTCCTTCCCTCTCCGTCAGGATGGCGACCATGTCATTGACGGCAGCCGTGAGGTCCAGCATCATCATAATGGTGACCCGAACGTCATCATCATTATTCCCACATGACAAATCAGCCCCAAATGCGTAATAGAAACTCCCACCAGAGTTCGCGGCGTCAAGCGAAACAGGTGCAAGCCTTTCGAAGAGACTCTCTTCCGTCCACAGATACGAGCGGGTGGCGTGGTAGCTGCGCGGTGATGTCCGGCGCAGCCTTTTCAACAAGTCCACGCGTGTCGGTGGTGATCGGTTGCATTTCCCAACAAGCGCCACATGCAGCACCATTTCTTTCCCCGTGAACAAGGCAGGATAATACTTCTTGAAACGTGTCCCTCTGAAGTCTCCTCACTGCGTCCTTTAGGCAAGAAAAACAAACAAGCAATCTTAACACCAAGAGCAAAAAGAGACGGCCCTGCATTTTTCCTGCCGATTCCGCACTCAGCACATCACAGTCCTCCACAAGGCCAGAAGTCCCCTTTCATTTCAGTATGAACAACTCTATATGCAAAAAAAAAATCGCTTCAAGATTCCGGGGGAAAAACCAAACGCTTTGCGAGGTGCTCCAACACCATTTTGCGCCTCTGAGCAGATGTCACCTCCACTGGTATCTGCGCAGCTTGAAAAGTGTTGGGCGATTCCCCGCCTAAAAAGGCGCCGCGCACCCCTGAAGCGATACGCGACGACGCCGACGCCTCCGTCGAGGTTACTGTTGGGGGCCCCGAAAAATTAGCACTACTACTGCGTCGACTCGCGAGGCTGCGGGTGGTAAAATTACTGTTTTCCCCAACCACAGCTGCTCCTATTGCTTCTTCGTCCTCATTCGCACCCTGAGATGAGGGCAATATCTGCTCGCGAAACGCAGCAAACTGGCTTTGTAGTGTATCGTAAGAAAAAAGAAGATCTGAAAGTTGGCGCTCCGTACTTTTGAGGCGCTCCCGCAACTCCATACGGTCTTCGTCAACAACAAGTAGCTGTTTCTCTAGAAAGACAATGCGCGAAAGTAACGCGGAGGATGCCAGCTCATCCTCTCCGCCCGAACCAGAAGTGGAGCTAGAACTGCTGCTTCCGCTGTCGGTGGTGCCAGGCACCATTATATCCTTTCTCTGTCCAACATCTTCGGCGTTCATTTTGCTATGGACAGATGCTGCTGTTCCTGTAGCACTCACAGTCGCGTTCGCCTCCACGTGTGGCGGTGCCTGTGACGTCTCGGACTGCGGCCTAGGCCCGTACTTTTTACTCCACCTCTCCAACTGTGTGTCAATGCTCGTAAAAAGCCGCTGCGTCTGAGCGTCGTAGAGGTTGTTGCCATAGGAGAACATATCCAAAAGCGAAGCCACTCCTCACTTACCTTCACCAACTACTGCGAAAGTGGGTGACTACTAACCAATCACCACACCCTTCATTAACAGAGAATACAACCACAAGAAAAAAAAAACCCAGTGAAAATCCAAATCTTGTTGAGCACATGCCCCTAGAATAAGTATTCTCTCTGCCACCTCCAAGGCGCTACGGAAATGCTCCCCATATTATACAGCAACGCAATGATTTTGGTATGCACAAAAAATATACGCCCGTCACATAACCAAACAGCCAGAGGAACGGTCACCGTTCTCAAACTGCGACTCTAACACCTCCTTTGATCCGGCCTTCCATGTCCCAATATCCATATTTCCTTCGGCTGCTGTACCCACCGGGGAAGCGGAAACTGCCACTTTTCGCGTCGGCATTGTGAAGCAGTAACGATACTCGAGGGCGTCGAAGAGGTCGGCGTAGTCCCCACCGTAGCGGTCAGCGAGCACCGGCGCCATGGCGGCCTTGGTGACGTTGTACACCTCGTAGAATGCACGCACCTGAGACGCGACTTCGTCAACGCTGAGAGGTGGTGTGTCGTTAGGGCGCACGCGGAAGAAGACCCACCGCTCGTCACCTGCCGTCAAGCGGCCTTCACCGTTCAGCACCACCGCACCGCCACCGCCACCGTTCGTCAGCACATCAGTACTGCTGCTCGTGAGGGTCTTCATGCCGGCATGCATCCGCGTTGGTGACATTGATACCGCATCCTTCTGTTTCACACAGACGATAAGCTTATCGGCGACGCTGATGCACGCCGCCCTCAAGAGCTTGAGGTGCTCTTGGCGTATCTTCTCTTCGTCGAATGCATCCATGTCCAACTCGATGCTTCCCGTAACCAAGCTCAGTCGTCGGTAGTCACGATTCGGACTGGGGTTGGAATCGCGCAAGGCACCTTTGCTCTGAGCGATGGTCTCCTCTAGCCGGGCAAGATCCGAACCCGCCCCCTTGTCAAGATTCATGCCTGTGAGGAGCAATTGCTCGACGAAGCAGTCCAGCCAACCTCTCAACTGCTGCAGCTCTGAGGCCGATCGAGTACTCTCACACACCTTCAAAAGTTGCGAAATACGGCGGTGTCTCATGGTGGCGATGCCGCTACCGTCCAACGGCGCGTCGCTGGAGAGCGTGGCCATGATGAACCGATACACAGACCTGAGGAAGGACAACTCAAAGCAGTGTTCTGCTACCTCATTCCGTTTACAACCCTGGGGAGGGGAAACTGCACCGTCCGCTGAAGAAGAAGCTTCTACAGACATACAAATCTCCTGCCACAACTGCTGAAGCAGTTTAGGTAGCCGTTCATGCAAGACTCGATTAATCTTCTTCTCAATCACGTCGCTACTCCCCTTCCGATTAGAGCTGTTAAAGTCATGGAGCTGCTGGAGAAGCGAATCCAGCTGCGAGAGTACATCTTTCGTTACTGATATGTAGTACACGGCCTCTGACGCCACGGGCATTATGTTAGAACTTGTTGCAGAGTCAAAACTCAGACTCACTCGATGTAATGGAGATACAAACTCCCTGGAAGAAAGGCAAACAAACAAACAAACAGTGACAAGAAGGCACACGCAGAATTTGTGTTGCTGACGAACACGTGTAACGCCTCACATGACAGACGCCAAAGCCGTTTCCAAAAACGGCCGTGGCATAGAGCCGACCAAAAAGAAATCAACAGAAAAAAAGATGAAAAATAAAATGAGACAAGAGGTCAATCCGTCGTCCTTCCCATATTTAATAAAATCGAACTTTCCATTCCAATCATCGTTTTCGCTCGTTTATATCCTTCACTACCGTTCTCTGTCTGTATTCCCCCAGTTACTACTTGCACCGCTAATGCTGTGTGGCGGGCGTGTGTGTGTGTGTGTCTGTTTGTGGGGGAGGGAGTGAGAAGAGGAGCCGGGTCCACAGCGTGGGTGACGCAGGGAGAAAATAGAGAAGGAGACATTGGCGGCGTCGGGGTGCAACAAATGAACGCAAAAAACACACAACGCAAGCCGAGTCGTTGGAGAGACGTCACACACTGTTCGTGTGTCTCGTCGCCTCAATCCCGCTTCAGGCATTGCTCGTATTGTTGTTCCGTTCCCACCCCAACTGCGTTTTTGTTTTTATTGACTGATACTCTACATCACAACCGCCTTAATTTATCCCCCTTTATCTTCGACGCGTCGGCTTGGATCCGTTTATTCGCGTTTTTCTTTTTTTCTTTTGTTTTTCCTCCACTCTCTTGCCAGCCTCGCCCCCCTCCCCGCCTGCTTCCATGGCCCAGGCGATGGACCAAAAGAGGAAAAAAAAAAAACAACAACAACAAGCCCAAAAGCGACAACAAAAGAAAAAAAAAGAGTGAACAAAGATAAAACTCTCACAACGGCTCGTTGCGTTTTTCCCCATTGCAGTCGCAAAGCCCAGAAACAAGAAAAAAAAAACAATTCTTTTTCGTTTTATTATTTTTTTTTTGTTTACCCCATTGTTTCGGGGGTATTCATTCTTTCTTGGGCCTTCGCTGCCGTGCCGCAAACGCAGCAGCAGCAGCCCGGTGGGTGAGTGTGTGGCGCAATGCGACGCTCTGAGGGAAGAGAGCTGCGGGGTGAGCAGGATCCCCGCCATGCACCATCGACGAAACAAACAATGCAAAAAGAGGGGATAGATGCAAGATGTAGCGCCAAAAAAAAATTAAGGAAAACAACAAAAAAAAACTAAAACAACCAAAAACAAGAAAAGAACAAACCAAATAAAACACAAGCAAACAAAGCAAAAAAAAAAACAACGTTTTTTAGCAGTAGTTAGGGCGATTAGTATTGCGAATCTTTAGAGACCGTTTTTTTTTCTGTTGTTTTATTGGCTTTATGGGTGCCTTTATCTCTCTCTCTCTGGGCGTGTGTGATGACGGGCCATGCGCAGTACACGGTACACTCAGCAGGCGCATACACACACACACACACACAGACACAGACACAGACATATACATCTATATATGCATCACCCCGAACCATCTATTCCTCTATTCTCTACCCTCCAGAGCGGCGCTGCAATTCATATCTCATCCCGCTTCTCTGCACAGGCACACAGACGCAGACCGGCGTGTGCCATTCAGAGGGGAGCTATTGGGAGACAGAAGGCGTGTTTGAGCCTGCTTGGGTTTATAGTGGCAGTGATGGGGGCAATGGACAGAGGTGCTGATATGGAAGAGTGCAGAGCCACCCAATGGAGCCAACGAGACACAGAAATCAGAGAGAGTACACACCAACAACGGAATAACAGTCACCACGCGGATACGTGAATCCCCGAAACACTGCTCCTGCGCACATGAAACAATTTCGCCTCGATACACACACAGATACACAAAACACAAAGACGAATATATATATATTCTCTCTCTCTCACACACACACATACATGAAAGTGAAAAGAAACAACACCGTATGTCGCTCCGGGGGACAGAAAAATGTGGGAAATACAGTGCAGCTACTCCCCACACAATCCATTCCACTGCATTCCACACTTTCTCAGGTCCCTTCGACGTACTCATNATGTGGGAAATACAGTGCAGCTACTCCCCACACAATCCATTCCACTGCATTCCACACTTTCTCAGGTCCCTTCGACGTACTCATGGTGAAAACGCAAAAAAGATGCAGGAAAAAAAACCACGCAAACAGAAACCCCAACAAAAACCGATGTCGCAGCTACACCGGATAGAGGATGAAGGCTCAAAGAGATACAAGAGTGTAGAGATCAGTTGCACAGTGAGTGATAAATACGCCCAAACATCACACCCAACCTTTCAAAGGAAGGGCATACGACCCGAACAACAAGCAACACAAAAACCCACTTCACTTAGCACTAAAATCATCCCTTCCTCTTTGTTTGTATCCCAAGTTTCCATCATCCCAGTTGCAGATTCCTAGAGGAGTTACAGTCCAACTTCTTTCATCGTTTGCGGCAGTAATACGCACCCATATATATATATATATATATATATATATATATA